GTTTTTTTCTTCTTTTTTTAATAAAGCCAGAGGCGTACAAACGTTTAAGGTTAGAGTTCCTAAATTTCCTCGGCCCATCACGTTGGCTGAATCAGCTGCTGAAAACTCCCCTGCATATCCTTAATCTCTCAATCATTATTTTTGGCTACAGTTTAAATCTAATGTCTGTGTGGACCTATGTATGTAATAATAATAATAATGTTTTTATGGTTCAGGTTATATGTAGCGGCACCAAAATGTATATTTAAAGCCTTCTATGTGAAGGGTTACAGAAATCCTTTCTTAAAAGGGACACTGGGGCTAAAATTGTAGTATCGATGACCTTTGACATTCTGCTCTTGACGATGGAGAATTATGAGGCAATCCCGCTCTGCCTTTGCGTGAAGGGCAGGGAGAACTATCGCTCTCTCACATCCTGCATCCCCCCGCCTTACATTTTTATCCAGTTGTCTGCATTTATTGTCTTTTGTTGTCTCTTACTTGCTTTTTAGTCTTTTGTTGTGGAGTATTTTATAACATCCGCTCTTGAACGATGCACAGTAAATAAAAGCTACTCCCTATATACCCCTGTTAAAGTGGGAAGTGTATCTTAACAGCGGAGGATTTTTGTAGTTTACCAACATGCCCCGTGCTGGGCTTTTATACATTTTCAACAAAAAACTGCATTAGATTGTATTCCCTGGTCACTTGGTCACATCAGTAATTACCCATCTGCTGAGAATCAAACAGACATCTGTTTGCACAGGAGAAAGCATCTCATCTCAACCCTGTCTATGTGTGCATGCTGCTCTCACTTCCCCAATTACACAACTGGAGGAGGGTTGACCAGTTTCAAGGGACGAGTGTCAATCTGTCTGTTTCAATCAAAATCAGCTTCTTTTATGAAAAAAGCCTATGATAATGACAATTATACCATATGGCATGACATATCCGGTAAACGAAGGATGTAACGGGTAACATATAATTCACAGCTAAACTAAATTCTCATTCTCATTGCAGGAAAAAGCAACTGAGGATGAGGCACCTTTTTGCATAAAATGACTGAATGATTATAACACTGTAAAAGTATCACATTTACAGATGCCACTGACTAATGTCTGTAGACAAGACTCTTAAGCTAGATGTTAGGTGAGACAGTAAAAAATAGGTGTCGCCTAATGGAGCCAGAGACCCAGCGTGCTAATTTAATATTACGGAGTGATAGATGATGGCGAAGAAGACAGTGATGGGGGGGAAAAAGAAAACTGTTCTGTAGCTCCCAGCTAAGTAAACAGACAGGTTTGAAATAGGAAGTCATTTGCTGGTGACAGAGAACAGTCATGGCAGATAAGCTGAGAAGGATAATTGGCCTATCTGATTCAGCATCTATATGAGTGCGTGGAGCGTTTCCTTATTGTAAATGAGGAGGCAGAAGGTGAAATATATTTCTGTCAGAGCCTCAGAGGCACACTGCAGAGTCACGATCCCACTACCATACCTGTGGTACTAAGGAAAGATAATTCGTTATCTCCGCTTGTTTCTCCTCAGAGGCTTGTTGTACAGCGTTCTGACAAAGAGTTGTCTGTTTGCAGATGTCAACCTCATGTTTTTCTTAACATTTTCTCAGTTAAGTCAGAAAAGAGACTACTTTTCATATTCAGGGAATTAATTATTAACTATGAGCAGGAAAGGTGAGGCAGTGAAGAATCGTGCTGAAGCTAATAAACCACGGAAAGGAAAATCAGACATCATCCTTATATATTGTAAGCTCGGTGATTGATACAAACCCAAAAGGCGAACGCAAATAGAGCGGCAGATATTCATAAATGTAGAAAGTGGGGTAGGAAAAGGAGGAAGTCGTTATGAAAGACACTTTAACTGACAATGATAAACGAAGGAAAATTATTTAAAACTGGAGTTATTAGTTTCACAGAGGCGATTAAATGTATCATGGAAATTTGATAGAATAATTTTTGGGGAACCCTTACAGCCTAAACTGAGTTGTGATTCAGCAAATAAACAGTAAATAACTGCCAAGCATAAAGGAGCCATGAAATCGGGCAATAAAAAAAAAAGAAATAAAAAGGGAAAGAAATCTGGAGTACATGCATGTGAAAAACTGACTTCCATAGTTTAAGCTGCACCTTTAGCTCTAGAAGAAAAGAAAGCATATCAAATATAAACCTCAGCTTTTCAAAGATATTCACTGAAAATGTCTATTTGTTTCATTTTAATGTGAAGTGTCTGATAAAAGCTTTTTTTTAATCATATACCTTTAGCTCTATTTAATTACACTGTTTCCTCCCTTCTCCCTAAGCTAAGAGAGAATGTGTGTTTTATCGAGTGGGATGTAATAGTCAGGCAAGGGTCTTTGTCTAAGCCCCTCATTACTGATGATTAACAGTGTTTCTCCTCTATGCCTCTCAGGAAACATGGTGAGCAAGGAGGGTGGCAAATGCATGCTCACCAACTCAGAGTCTGACTCGGAGGCAGCGCCCGTGCCCTCCACTTCGCTGGCGCTGGAGGTAAAGTATTCCCTGGAAGCCAATCGACAGGTGAGGAAGAGAAACAAGGCCTTGCAAGTGCGTTTCAAGGACATCTGCGAGGCGCAGAACGAGCAAAGAGAGGCGGAGTTGCAGGCAGCGGGGAAAAGTGGCAAACCAATGTCATACAAAGTGGCATACCGCAAATACATGACTGTCCCTGCACGCAGATCGATTCCTAACGTCACAAGGAGCACAGGTGTTCAGACGTCACCCGACCTGAAGAAACGGTATCAGACGTTTCCCTTCGAGCGCAAAAAAGGACATACCTTTAAGCATGTGGCGGCCGTGGAAACTTATAAAGGTCAGAATAACGGTTTTATCATGGAGGTGAAGCAGTCTAAGGCACCTGAGCAGGGTTTAGATGAGGAGGAGGAGGGGGCCTGTGGGGGGAGCGGAGTCCTGAGGACCAGGGCTCTGCTCCATACTAATGAGTGCATTGCCACAGTGGAGCAGCACACTGCACCTGATGGCCTGTGCTCTGATGCTCTGCTGCTCAGTTGCACTGCAGACACAGACTGCCTCGCAGACACACCGAGAGGAAGCGGACCTGGAGCACAGGCAGAGTACCAGCTCTGCAGCATACCTTCCAAAGCCAGAACAGGATTACAACACAGGGAGGCCGACACAGACCGCTCGGCCAAGAGGCAGCTGCTCAATCTGGAGGAAGGCTCATCCCGAACCCTGCCGGACAGGGCCTCCAAGGTTACGGGCCCCATCGCCTGGAACTCCCTCACCCAGGTGGAGTGCCTGGACAGTCCGTCTGTACGGAGCAAGCGAAAGAAAGGCCTGCAGCTCAACGGGCTGTCGAGTGAGACGTTACCACGATCCCGTGGAGGCTGTAAAACACAGGCACAGTGCCACACGGGGCAGTTATCTGCCCGGCCTATACGGGGCATGGAGGAACCTCTGTCACCCTGCATAGGCGGTGAGGCTGATGGAACACCAACCGACCAAACGCAGGAAGCCTGTAAGCAAATAGTGCCTATGAATCAGGACGGGGACGTTAAAGCACAGCTCCAGGCCATGGAAAATCTCATCAGCTCCAGCCAAGAGACCATCAAGGTGCTGCTGGGGGTCATCCAGGAACTGGAAAAAGGAGAGGCCCACAGAGAAGGGTAAGCCATCTCACTCGAATCGTGTACAGATGCACGATTATTTCTCCCTGCTGCAGATGCACAGTACCGGTCCCACGCCAAGGCTCTTCTCCAGATTGTAAATTGGTAACACTGACTGTACAGAACTGAGGGAGAACCAATTTTATGCTAAAAGGCCAAAGATCGATTTAGCACTGAAAATGACTCAGTGGCCAACCATGGCTGAATTATGGAACTACAGATGTATTACAAAACACGCAACACAGACAAAACAAACAACAAAAGCATCTATTGATTGGTTTAGCAAGAGTTGTCTACTTAACGTACACTGACGCGGGTCTTATGTTAGCCACAAAGGAATGCTATAAATCTACAGATAAAAACTGAGAGAAGAATATATTACAAAACAAGAGAAACATAACATGTTCATGATTCAGTATCAACAACAAAACAATGTTGGTGTGACACATTATTTCTTTATTACAGTAAAAATCTTATAAGTGTGACAGCTGCTCAGCAGAGCCTTGACTGAGGCACCAAAAGAGCATTATTGTAGCTGTAGTGATGTGGCTTTCACTTGGATGTGCCCTGCAGTGCTATTACAGTGCAATGCCCTTTTGTGACAATTTTCCTTAGATATGGTGCAGCTGCTGCATTACGTACATGCTTTAAATCACATGTTGCCATTGTGTATGTCACCTTCATTCACAAACCCAGTGCTAAGCAACGCTCTCTCAGTTTATTAATTGAGTAATTTAACACTAAAATGCTCAAGACATGAATATTATTCTAAGCAGGGCATCAAATTACAGAATGGCATTAAATTTAAGATTGTTTATTACTTAAAGAAAATACGAAACGTTTAACGATTGGCTTTATCCAGCAGCAGACTATAAGTTTATCTAGAAAAGTCCAAGGCATGTGAAAAAGCCACAGCCTGTGAAAAAGCCATTTACTGTCCAAAAGATACTGAGTATATACAAAAGGGCTGCAGATAGACAATCCTCTATTTCAGTGGGTTTGATGCTATCTAAAGGGACGAGGCAAACAAAATGGGCAATTTGTTGGGAGAATTGCTGGGGCTCGGCACCCAGATCCCTATCTGTTTTGACCAGTAGCCGTGTTACGGCATGGAGCGAGAAACCCCATGTAATCAACATATCCAAAACGCACCTGTCAAGCTTATAAACAAGGAGGACACAAGTACAAGTACTTCCAAGTGTAAGAAAGCAATTCTCAATTTCAACTTCAAACATAGCACGTAGCATTTGCAACCCTCTAACAAGGCAATTATCCTCCTTCAGTCTTGCACAATGCAACTTTAATCTCCTAGTTGACAAACTTAGAAAAATGTGATTGAAAAAGTTAGCACACGCGTGACATAGTGCGGGACACTACTTTCAATGCGTTGCAGAGCACATCTGACTTATCAGGTGTGTCTAAAGTGGCAGGTGGGAAGTGGGGAGGTAAGGAGAGGAGAAGCTTTTCATAGACAAAAATAAGTGAGCACTCTTTAATGGCACCATCTGTTCACATACACAAAGACACTGTGTTTTCACATTGTGCTTCCTACATTAAGCTAAAGCCAGTGAGCAGTGTAAGCCCCGTGTAATCCATCCAAGGCTAAGTGAACTTCTATTTATCTATTCAAGCATAGTCATCTTTGTCCTGTAAATACAGTATTTCTGTATTTCAAAGGTCACTTTTTTCACACTACATTAGCTTCACTTACCCCCTATGTAAATGTCACTGACAAACAATAGGACTGCCCATAGGCTATAGGTGAATTGCATCTTATATTAAGTCATATAACTTAGAACTATTGCATTAATCACTATCTGTGCATGTCTACAGTGGCTGTGATGCTGGTGCAAAAAATCTTTTGTTTCTCCTGATCTGTGTGACATCAGGAGAGAGAAAATAGGGGTGCAAAAGACAAAAGTCTAGGAGGAAGAAAAGAAGGACACAGTTACAAAGTAGAACAAAACTCCAGGGAGTGCAGAATTATTAGGCAAGTTGTATTTTT